CAAAGACGAAGCAATTCCTGATACTCCATGTCCTCCGGCATATTCTCCGAGAGACTGACCGCAGCCTCCACCAGTGAAGTTTCTCTTTCTTCCGATGGCATGCAATTGAATCTTCTTAGATTGCAAAACCAACCCTCCTTGTCATGGCCTCAATCTCCTGTGGTAATCAAGTATACAAAATCACCAATGAAACTTCCAAAACCAGTTCCATAAAGATTCTTCCTCCATGTGATTTTGTTTCCATCGTTTTAACTTCGACGAGGTATCTCATGGTGCAGATTAATACACCCTCTCTGCTGCTCATCTCTGGTGACCATTGATGCTCTGAAACTTCACCATTAAATGTACAAACCCTTTCCTTAAGCTTCTTCTGATAATCGTGACATAGATCGATCTCCAGCCATATGTCACGCCACTTCTTCTGTCACTCTTGACCTTGAGAAATCACGAAAACTTGAGAACTATTCCAATAGCCAATCTGATGATCTCAGCTTGAATCAACCTGCCAAAATAATTTTGTTTCCCTTTGAATTTTTCAGATAGTGAAATCCGGATGTAATTTTAGCTAGCCATCACATCCTCCAATGTCAATCTCCGACACTGTTGGTTTCTGCAGTCTCAGGTAACCCTCAAACAACTCATGTCTGTCTTTTTTTTTTTCATGACTGACTCGAGCATTGAATTCTTCTGAGATTTCCTTCTGTGATAAAAACATCATGATACCACTGACCACTTACTGATATTCAGATTTCTGCCTCTACGCATATGAATAACTCATCCGACTCCTTTAATTACTTGTGGTAAACCTTTGAACCATAAATCATTCATCCTAGCCATTTTGCACTTCTGATTATCATATAATCCTGTAAGAAAGAACCTTAATTGAATATCATGGTTTCTTCCGCAGGTACTCCACCTGAAACCATTGATCCCAATTCCTTTTCATGGCTGCACTTCCGGGAAGAGCACAATCTTCTCTTACATGTCTGGTTACTTCAAATTGTTCTCCAACTCTTGGATAAAATTCTGAAAAATAAATCCAGACTTGTATATTTTGCAGGACAACATCTCCTTAGACGGCTTCTCCGATGAACATCCATGTTCTTCAGCTGTCTCGTTTACCTCAGGTAACTCCATAAACTAGAGTCATTCTATATATGTCTCTTATGATTTTCACATGCCGATCTTAGTTACCCATTTGACGTTAAGATTTCCCAAAATCAATAAATCTTTAACTTTTGATTTTATCTGATGTCAAATTCTTCTGAAAAAGAAAAGACCGATATTCTCTCAATCTCTGGTGTCTTTATGTAACCTTACAGTAGTACCTGAAACGAATACTCTTGACTCGTTCCTCTGGATTCAGTAACATATTGTGAAGTATTAACCTGCTTCACTTGAATTTTTTTTTTATCAGATGCTCCAGCTGGAATCAAGTTTACCTCACCATGGCTTCGGATGCCTAAGAGGTAACTTCTTAATCCTGTAGACACTGATTTCACTTAGAATAACCAATGACTTCAGTTACTGCCATAAATATAAGTGATTAATATATCCTAGCCCTCTGCATTTTGATTCCCTTTGTTACCCTTTGATTCTCTTGATGTGCGCTTATCTTTAGAATCAGAAAACCCTTGAATCAACTGCAGTAGACCCTTGAACCATACATGTTTCAATAAGAAACAATCCCTGATTCACCTTGCAAAACAATCTCTAAACTGCATCTTATTCAATGACCAATGCATTTAGAAAACCTGAGATTGAACTTGCTGCCTTTTGTTTGAACAACCATAATCTGAATTATTTCTTGTACCGCCATCGTCACTGATAGAACACGCCTCCAAACAAAACCTGTAGGGAAGACTTTCGACACAACCATCAATTCAGCTTGTAAAGTTCAACCAAAACCCATTTACCAGTAGATCGTCACTAAAGAAACAACCACAACCCTGAATATTTCTTGTACTGCCATCATCACTGATGGAACACGCTTCCAAACTAAACCTGTAGGGAAGACTTTCGACACAACCATCCATTCAGCTTGTAGAGTTTTTAAAAAAAAATAAACCCCATTACCAGTAGATCATCACCACTAGCAAAGAAATATTAGTCTCTTGTCAATGGCTGAACCATGACACCTGAAACTTCCTCTTTACAGCCACTTTCTATGACGTCTTAAGCTTGCGACAGACTTTCTTTAACTGTAAAACCTGTTCCACAATACATGCTTCTTGTATCTGTGAATCCACCAAAAAACAAACAGTTTGGTGCTTGCATCACAACAGTCTTTTGGACTTCCAATAGAACCCCTTCTGATTCATCAATACCCTATGACATGTCCTTGACTTGATGTATCCTCACGTGAGTTTCATTCACTTTCGTTCTCTGAAAAAAAATCTCCTTAATTTTCTTCTTGTGATGCCAAAAGAAACCAAGTTTAGCTTTACTTGTTTCTTACTACCAATGCATAACATCAAATCATGCATTTACATCTTTTCTTAGATGTCTAGATTCTAGAACACGCTCCGCTCCTCTTGTATATCTTTGCAATTGCTTTTCTTGAGAAGCTGTCCACATACTTACCCTAATGCAAACCGATATAACCAACTCTTCCACTAGTTGTTAACTCCAAATGCATATGTGTTCTTCTATAGAATCCTTCTCCTCGTTGCTTCTATAGACTTGATAAAGATCATGTCAAACTTGACGATATGAGCAATATCTCATAACCCTTGAAGTGAATAACCATGAGCCCAAATTCTGCTAAGAACCTGCAGATTTCTCTGTCATCTCGGCTGTTTACCCTTCCTTTAAACACTTCCTCTTCTTTATCCAAGCTTAAGCATTCAGTAGTCCGTATTGATCATGTATCCAACAACTTGTCTTTCCTAGTGAACCATTTTCAACCTTGTTCACTCATTTTGCCATTCTTGAATTTCTATACACACTCTCCAGCCATGATCTTTGTATATATCAGTGAATAATCCACGTTAAACTTTCATTCTTTGAAGCCTACTCAAACAACTCAGATCACACATGCTTGCTAATCTGAAAAGAAACACCCAGAACAATTTCTTATTACACGTACAGACGTACTGCCCCTGAAACTATCTCATAGTTCCACCTGGACCATGATAATATAAGAAACGTCTCCTATATGCTCTGCTCCACCTCTTGAGTTTAACCAATTCACTGTTCAATCTTTAAACTACTCATCAAACTTGTGTAGAATTTATAACCGTGTTACATGAGAAACCAGGAGTTGTGTCATCTATTTAGACATCCCGCTCAATGTGCACACTAATTAACATCTCTTCCAAAGAGAACCACCAAGAACTTTGCTACCCTTGAAGTATTTCCAAATCTGCTTTCTACCCTCAGATTTGTCACTTTTAGAGTTTACTCTCAACTCCCTTGAACTCTTTCTTGATAGTATTATCCGACTATCAGACCTCGTGCAATATCTCACTTGCTCTACTTTCATTTACGTAACACTTAACATGTTTCACCTTGTGGACTAGTGAAATAAAAATCCTTGATTCATCTAAAGTAGTAAAAACTGAGACCTTGAGTTCATACAACATCCAAATCCAAAAATACTTCATTGATTTGTAGCCTTTAGCTACTAATTGACTTCCTGTAGCCTTCCTTATGGTAGCACCTCTGCTAATTTCCCGTTAGCAAATTTTTCCTGCCAAGTCACCTTCTGAAACTTCTTGTTGATATACTTGTAACTCATGCTTGAGTATTTTACAATTATTCCCATCGCCTCACGTGTAAGAAAACCTTTTGCTGTTCCCACAAGTAGAACTTGTTACAACAAAACCATTGAATTGTCGACAAGCAAGTTCTGATTCTTCTTGAGGCGTCCTTTCAACGTTGTTTCCACTTGACTTCTTAATACTGAGACTTATTATCCTTCATGCTGTCTTCTCCAAATCTCTCCCATAAAACCTGAAATCTTCAGATTATGAACACTGTCTGCCGTCTCTTTCTCAGAATCCATGAAACCCTTAACATATATAAAACCAGCTAGTTACACGAATCGAGATCTAGGAACTAAGGCGTCCCCTAGTCCTAATCACTCCATTCCCCACAGCTGCTTTTGATATACTTGAACACCATCTGTATCAGTCCTTTTACCATCATACTTCATAAAGAATTATCCTAGAAAACCAGCGCTGTATCTTGATCAAATTCTTCTGTAAAAACTTGCATACAGATCTTGTGTTCAAACCAGATTTAACCTTCTAGAATTGCAGAACAAAGTCTCATTGACAAATCGTCAACATGTTCATCACAAAGCTCTTTTGTGATCGCAGCGGAAATAGATATACTCTCTTCTAGACTTGAGACATGAAGTTGATTGATTTGAAAAAGACCTAGACCTTTAGCCAACGGCTCTTAGTCTATCTTTACCATAAACCAATCTTGTGATATCCTCCATCACAAAAATAACAAAACCAGTCTCAAGGTTTGTTGGTTAGTTGCAGGACAGAACCTTCCTTTTCCTTGAGCTTGTGTACCTCTCCTGAACCATGAATACCTTACCCAAGCTCTGATACCACTTGTTAGGATCTTAACTTCGAATCACACATAGACATGTTGATTCTTCATGGTTTAAACACAAACTTAAAAGTAACTTTGACACCAAGATTTAACGAGTTCCCCTCATCAAGGGTACATCTCGTGTGGGAACCTCCTCCCACAAACATCCACTATCTTATCAAAGGTTTACACAACGCGCTTCTTTGTGTTTCAGGTACAAGCTTAAAGAGAAACAATAACAAAGACAAAGAGAAGAGTACTAAAGGTGGAGACTCAAACTCCCACTTTCTATGGAGATCATCTTCTTCTCTCTTTGATACTCTCTTTCTCTCACCAAGCTATGAAGACTGCGTAGCTCTCGTGCCATTACGGCACCCTGCGGTGAACCTCTATTAGGGTTAGTTTCTTGTAAACGTCTTGTGCCTTCTTTTATACGTAAGTGATGTTGCCGACTTGGATTAGCTAATGGGTTTGATTTTGGGCTTAGAGACTAAATGACTGAGGCCCATAACTTACATTTAGCCGTTCATGTTCTTAAGAGAAAATGTCAAATTACAAGTGGTACAAGAACTGAGCATTGTACTTAGAGAAGAACACTTTTTTCTGGTCAATTCTGTATAAATATTGAGAAACAGGCCGTGATCGATAGGACTGTTGTACTACAAGTTATCTTGTGATGAAGTTGAATTATCTTGTGAAATCTGTAGTGTGTGTTAAGACTGAGAACTGAGAGCATTGCTGTTTTACTATTATTAACTACTAAAGTCTTACACTTTTTTTTGGACAGAGATGTTAAATAACAAATTTCAGGCTGCAGTTGATATTCTCCGCAAGGAAAAGATCATCCTTGACCCTGAGGACCCAACTGCCGTTAAACAGTATGCTAATGTCATGAAGATCATCAGGCAAAATTAAGGCCCTCGTGTTTGTGACCCTTCTCTAGATGTTTCCTATTTTGCTAATTCTTTTTTTGTTTGTTATGCGTTCTCTTTGTATGCAGGGCAGACATGTTCTCCGAATCTCAACGCAACAAATATGATATTGAGAACGAGACTAAAGAGATCCCAGATGCTCGTGCTTACCTCTTGAAGTTGAAGGAGATCCGCACCAGGTAACTGTTGAATTAGTATCATTCCCCCTTTTGGATAGTCTTGAGTTAATTCTTGTGTGTTGACTTGTGATATGTATCTTGCAGGAGGGGGCTTACTGATGAGTTAGGTGCCGAGGCCATGATGTCCGAGGCTTTGGAGAAAGTTGAAAAGGATAGAGAGAAGCCTCTCTTGAGAAGCACAAGAAAGGAAATGGATCTTTTGGTTGCAGAATTCGAAAAAGGCAACAAAAAGTGAGTTAATATCACACTCTTCAACCACCCTTACTGAGCATGGATAAAAAAAAAATTAACTCCTTGGAATATTAGAGCTAATGAATTTGCATAATATCATTAATCTGAACAGGTTTGGGATTAGGAAATAATATCTTCCTAAATACGAGGAGAACTTGGAGCTGAGCATTGCCAAAGCGCAGCTGGATGAGCTGAAGAGTGATGCTCTTGAAGCAATGGAATCTCAGAAAAAGAAGTAAGTCTTTTTTTACCTTTTGTTCGTGTTCTCATCTTCAGTCTTTTCTTAATATAACACGAACTTGTGATTGATTTTGTTGAGGGAGGAATTCAAGGATGAGGAGATGCCAGACGTGAAATCGTTGGACATCCATGACTTTATGTAAGATTTGATGATGGTGAATCTAAGAATAAGCTATCTCTCTCATCATCGTCTTTTGCTGTTTTTGGTTAATAAGGTCGGTCTCTCACCATGGACTTGAAAGAATACCAAATGGTCGTCTTTAACTTTCTTTCTCTCTGGTTATTATTACGCTTGTGATTTTTGTAGAAGCAAACGTGGGTTTCATATTTTCTGATAATGGTGATTTAAATGAAACTAAGATAAATTTGAATAAAAATATTTGAATTATATGTTAATTTGACCACATTCTCATAAAATTCAAATAAACAAGTTAAAAGAATAATTGAATTTGAAATAATTTTTTTTATTCAATTGGTTACCAATTTATTTGTATTTTGTTATTAAAAATGAATTTTAATAATTTTAGTCACCAAAAACAATACAAAATTTTTTTTTTTTTCATAGTTTATATAGATTATTTAATCTAACTATAGAATATGTAATCAAATATACTCTAGAATAAACTAAACTAAATTAAAATATAGGAGAAAAACCCCGGGCGTAGCCTGGAAAAAGTCTTTAGTTGTGTTTAATAGCTATCGATGAGTTTTCCTGATGTGTCTAATTAATATATGTGTTGTCATGTACCAAAAAAATAATCTACCTCTTTTTATATAAGATTTAATTTTCTAATATATATATATATATATTTTGTTAAGCAGTCCTAATTTTATGTAACTATAAACAACACTTTGAATATCACAAATTATTAATAAATTGCATTATAAATATACGTTTATGGATAAAAATATAACTAACAAAAGAGGTTCAAATTATCGTATTTCTATCATACATAACACAATTTTTATTTTATTGTATGAGTGTAAAATAAAATTATATATAACACAATTTTTATTTTAGTTAATCATTTGGTTTTTCTTTGCTTATAAATTTCATTATCATTTCTCTTCATACTGAAATATTTATTTTATTTTAGTTAAGACTTGATGTATTATTCTGTTTTTATTTTGTGATAAATATTTGATATATATATATATATATATTTAGTTTAGCTTATAATATATGCTTAAAATATTGTTAAATTTGTATATTTGGCTAAAATTTTATTACGAATTAAAATAAAATTTTATGGATGTAAATATATTTAAACTATATTGTATTTATTTAAAATACAATCTTATAAATTTTTAAAATTAAAACATTAATAAAATGAAAATAATCGCTGCGTCAGCTAAACGAACAATATAAATCACCTTCCTGCGTTTGCGTCTGGCGTATGCGTCAATATCATGCGTCTACTAAACGAACAACAATCTGCGTCTGTGGTTAAATCTGCGTCTGCGGCTGCATCTACAAAACAAACAACAACCAAACGAATAGACGTGGTCGCAAACGAATAGACTTAGTCGCAACCCGAGACTCAACCGCAGCCGCAAAAAGCTGCGGCAACCAAACGAATATCACTATAGTCAAATATACCTATACATAATATAAAATCTGTCAATAATATATTTTTAGTTGAAATAGATTATAGAAACTACAGTGAAATCTTTATAAATTAATAATGTTGGGACTACACCAAAATTTTATTGTTTTATTAATTTAGATAGATGTTAATTTATCGATATACTAATCGAACCAAAAACTTAATTTGGGTTTATAAAATTAAATTATTTTATAGAGATATTTAGTGTATATTAATTTATCGGGTATTAATTTATAGAGGTTCTACTGTATATCGATAAGTATTAAAATATGATGTATAAAAAGTTATCATGCAATTGTTAAACTTTATATAATTGTAGGGATTAAAGTGAAAAGCGAATAGTATTTAAAGGAATTAATAGTAACTCTTTATATGTAAAGTGTTACTATTCACCCTTTTAAAAAAATAAAGAAATAAAGGGTGGTTAGAATGTAAAACTCTTGAAAAAATAAAGGGATAGTGGATGGATGGGTTGAGGATGCTTAGGTTTAAAATTGACGATAATATTCAAGGTATTCTTTATCATACCCCAAATGTCATTCGCTTACCTTATCTTTTAAAAACTTTCTACAATTTACCTTTCACCGCATTTTGTGTTAGTTCTCCTCTGTGTAATTAAAAGTCAAACCTTCAATCTCAAAAGCATACTAAAATGTTTTCAAAAATTTCCTCCACATCATCTAATGAATTTTCGAGAACAAACATATCTACTTTTTAGTACATAAGTTTTTTAAAATACAATCCCAAAAATTGATACTATATAAAACCAATATTAAAAAAAAAGTCTCTCTCGTTCTCTCCCAGACACGGGTTGCGAGGATGGTTATTAACCACTGTCTTCACTGACAAGCATCCTTTTATCCATCGTTTTCTTCCCGTTTCTTTCCCCTTTCTACCAGAAACTACCTGCAACCTTAAATCTTTTTTCAAATTCTTACCCTTTCCAGCTTTACCCAATGGTCTTTGACTTGACCCCCGCCGGAACTATGGTCCTCTCCCGGCCTCCGTCGACCTCAATCTCTCCCAGTGAGGGGACGCCTGGTCTCTCCTCTCTTTAGGCCTTCCCTGTGGTGGCTCCAAAACTCTTCTCCCCTTCTCTCCTGTTCCAGAAGAAAGTTCATCAACAACACCACAATGTTTTTAATTCTCTTCACGAGTACTGGAAGGTTTCTACAGCATAGTCAAGGAATGGAATCAGTTTTTGCAGAGGGCCTACACTTCTAGTAAGTGTTTTGGCCTCTGTTATAAAACTGAGATCCAGTTCTCTTTACTACACAGTTCACGTCTGCTTTTGGGTCTATATCTTTACCTTTGGTTTGGTCCCAGCTCCAAACAAAGGAAGGCGTTTCTTACTCTCTTCCTGGCTACTAGGCTCTGCTTTACTCACATCTCAAGCTCAAAAAACTCTGCGAAGTCTAAGATCAATCTCCACAAACTACTCAACAAATCCCAGACATGTCAAACAACTCAAACCTTTTCCCTCCGAGTTCCAACCAACAACATGAGGAAGATGATGATGACTTGGTTATACTACCAAATGTGGACAACTCTGAACTCATTGCACAGTTCAAACTAAGCCTTGTCGGAAGACTTTTCAACTGGGACAGAAGAAATGTTGAGGCATTGATTTCCCTGCTCCCGCGGCCAAATATTTGGGACGTGGAGGGGAGAGTGCGCGGCCTGGACCTGGGAAACCATCTATTTCAATTTGATTTCGAGTCTGAAGATGACCTGCTAAAAGTCCTTAACAAAAGACCTTGTCATTTTAACAAATGGTCTTTTTCTTTGGAGAGATGGGCTCCTCATGTTGGGGATATCTTCCCAAATACCATGACTTTTTGGATTTGTGCCACAGGAATCCCGACACACTTCTGGCTTGAGCCCATCTTCCGTGCCCTAGGAGAAAGATTAGGCGATGTTGGTTTAATTGAAGCTAAGACTGCAAAATTCCAGGTTCAAATCAATGTTGATTTACCTTTGAAGTTTGCTTTGAGAGCTCGAATACCGTCTGGGGAAATCGTTCCAGTGAAGCTGGAGTACGTCAACCTTCATCGTTGGTGTCACCATTGCCGTCACATCTCCCATGAAACTGATTCCTGCCCGGAACTCTCTGAAGAACAAAGAAGAAATTTCAGACATTTAAAAGATGGTGATAGAGATCATGAGAAGACAACTAGAAAAGATACCAATCGTTTTAGTGAAACAGCAAGGAGACCTGATATTGCGGAGGGAAAGAATGGAGGCTCTCAAGACAGGCAGATATTGGTTGACTCTCACAGGGACACCAGGGACAGTGTATGGAAGCGTATGGATCCCCGGGTTAAGGGCCGTGATGATCACCACCCTGAGCCTCGTTCTGAACGCTACCCTAATAGCAGAGGACATAATGAGCGTAATAAGTCACTACAAGCAAACAAATCTCAGGATCCTGGAGCCTACAATAAACGCCGTTATGATGACTCTTATAACTACAGCAAACAACGTGAAAAAGATAAACGCTCAGAGGACAAAAGAGACCTGAGTCGTAAGGATGGAGATCATCAATCTGGAAGTAACTGGATTATCCCCTCAAAGAAACCTATCGCTGACCACAACTCCGAACCCCCTAAGCCAAGCTCCACGCACACCGCTGAAAGGAGGACTGATGCTTATGTACCTTACACTTCTTCATCTCCTGAACACTTAAGGGAACGACCATCAAAACTCCCCCTTCTAAAAATTTCAAAACCTGATCTAAAGCTAAAAGGGAAAGCTTCAGACCTGGATGTTTCTTCTGATGCTGGAAGCTCTGCAAAGAAAAGCTTAAGGTTCGATGAGGGTACTGATCCTCCTTCTCAAGACGAAAATTCAACGGCTAATTTGATCCCTGCAATATCGTTAAAAAAAAGCTAGTATGAAGAAACAGAGGAGGAAGAAGAGGAATCAAAAAAACAATCTGAGACTCAAACCTTTGCTGGCGAGTTTAATATGGAGGTTGAAGACCCTGAGGCCGAGAAAATACTCGAGGAGGAGGACTGGGAGGTAGAGGAGGGGGACGAAAACGATGATGGAGAGGACCTGATGGATGAGGACGGTCTATTGCTGGAAGAGGAGGAGGATACGATCAAACAATGTGAGAAGAGGTCACCGGCTTTGAAGACCTCCGGAAAACCTTCCTGGTGGAGAGGAAGCCCGGAGCCCGTGATCCCACCGCCTTTGGGTTTGGGTGGAGAGGAAGATGAGAATCAGGGAGGAAAGTCTCGTCACTCCCGTACGCCACCGTCTAAAGCCGGCGTCTCAACGGCATCGTCAAAGAAAAAGGGCACTCCAAGCCCATTAGCAGTTGGGCTTTCCCTGAGAAAAAGAAGCCTCTTGCTGGGCCGGGCCTCACCAAGAAATGCAGCAGCTTCATCAAAGGCCTCAGTTAAAGCTCCAAATGGGCCATCTCCGGGCCTTGCATCTGGTT